GGGGAATAAGCTAGATAACTTCATGGCCAAAAGTTTTTAATATCATAGTTAAAACAATCAAAAGTTGTGCTTTAACAATTACATTACACTTCCTGCTCATGTTTAACCTTAGACACAGATGTAATGAGTGGAAACTTCCTAGGTAAATAAGTTTGTCAGGAAAGAGGCACCGCAGAGAAGTGAGTCATCAGCTCAAAAATACTTGTAAATCATCGAAGTAATTGTAAAAAGTTCTCAAAGCTGTCTATAACTTTTGAAAAAAAGGCTTAAAAATATCAATAAAAGTACATTATTCTAATCTGCCATTCAAATTTATGGTTTGGCTCCTCTTCTTTTTCCTCAACAATTCTTCCAGAATTGTTGTGTTATTTATAAGCGACTTTTGGAAAGCACTAACAGGTAGCAATCCTTCCAATACATTCGCAACATTTTAGCACCAAAAGTACTCTTTAACACCCACTTTGATACGGTACCCCCATTCATTCCGCCAACAGAAGATGCAGAAAAGATTTATGGCAGAGGATCAAGTGAAGCTAAAGGTAAAATCCATTTTCAAATTCCAAATCCGAGTACTCAATGAGTTATCTTAAGGGCAGTTAGCCTGCATGATTTCTGCAGCTCAAGCGCTTGCCGAATCGAATCCAGACATTGCGGAAAAACTTGCTCTTCTCATCGTTGTTGGTGAAGAGATTGATCATATCGGAATGCAGGTAAACATTTGAGCTGTCAAACAAAATTTTTTTACTCCTCTTCAACGTCCATAAAACAAAGGGTAGAGGTTGTTAACTAGGTTTATGAGCAATTTTATCGTCATTTACGTACTGCGCTGAAATGGGTTAACTCAGCGTGTCATGTCATATCTACAAGTACTCACAAATCTGTACAAACTAGGGAATGTCGATTTTTGGTGATTTGTGAATGTTTTTTGAGAAGGCACTAAGAAATAGCAGCGTTTTCAGGCTAAGAAATTTTTAAATCTTGAAATATCCTTCTGGAATTCATATTCTTTCCAACATTGCAAGAAACTTTGAGTGATTATTTAGCATCATATTATTACAATTCCGTGGAACAAATATAGCTTTTTGTATACACATACTACACATGCACATAAATGTACACGCACAAGCAGACGCAGATGCAAACGCGAGTACACAAAGTAAGTGTCAAAGAATCTTGCAATAAATATTACCATTTCCATAATTGGATCTCGTTTTTCAAATGGATTGAAGAAGATTCAAAATTTGATGTGAAACTGATATTGAACTGTTAAAGATTTTCCATCAGCGATCATCAAATCAACTGTTACCTATGCTTCAAGACGGGTTAATCAAGATTCAGTATGATACAAAATTTGTATTTACTGTATAAAAATAATGTCCACCATCAAAAATGATAACACTACATCATTTTTTGAAGTGAAACTCGCTCATTTCCAGAAAGCCAACGAGTTTACTGCCCTAAAACCAGACTATCTAGTTGTTGGTGAACCAACGGAACTGAAATTTGGCACTATCCAAAAAGGTGCACTGAAGGTACGCTTAGCTTTTTTGAAATTTCATTTCTGAAACAATGCGCGTGTTTCCTTATAAGTGTTCCCTTAGGTTGTTGTGAGATGCAAGGGAAAGGCAGGACATTCCGGCTATCCGTCAGAAGGTGAAAGTGCTATTCACAAATTGATTCCCATTCTCAATGATGTTTTGAACTATGAGTGGCCCAGCGACGAGAAAAATGGCAAGTCGTTTTTTCAGAAAGCTTTTTTTAGGGGAAAAAAACGAAAAAAAAACTTATGAAAAGAGGTTTCAAGGCCTTTCTTACACTAAGTACATAGATATCTCGGAATTTCTTGGTCACAGAATTGTTTATTCTGTTGCTTGAGATTTGTTTACTGCCCATCTCGTATTTATGTGCTGTATAGAAAAATGTCCTCTCATTCCCTACGAAAACACAATCCGTTCCACTAAGGCCGCTCATAAATCTTAGGACCACTCCATCGGTCAAATGACAGAAATGATCATGACAGCTATTTACACTGGCACGCCCATACAACAACAATATCCTGGTGTAGGCTCGCACGATGGGATTTTGTTAGTTTAGCAAAGCAGAAATTGAATGAGGGAAAGGGAGCAACAAAGTGTCATTTTTAC